TTTCAGCAAATAAATGACAAAATCAACGGAGCCACAAAAGGAACCCTGCTGCTATCACCATTCTTAATATTGAAAGACTTGAATGCTTTCCTCTTTTTAAGATCACGATGAGGATGTCCACCTGTAAAGGGTCAGGAATAGACACAGTGCAGGTTTTCTAGGATCCAGCAGACCAGGTAAAGGAGGAGTCAGAGTCCTCAGTGGCTTTTTGCAGGTCTTTTATTGGGATTTAGCGGGTACATGGCAGGCAGGAGTGCTGGGGGGCCGGGAGGCTGGCAGTCCTCCCAGCCCCCAGCAAATCTTCACTCTATCTGGGCTCTCCGGCGTTCTCTCTGCTTCTGCTTCTCTTGCTTCTCTCTTGGCTTCCACTGCTGCTGGCCCTTAAAAGCACAGTCTTAGCCCAGGTGAATCCCACCTACCTATGCCCACACCCTACTCCAGGTGCCCGCCATCAGGCATGCATTCATCATCTATCCTGGTGGCGGGAGGGCAGAAAAGCCTGACATTTTTCCTTACCCTACACCACCTTACCACTTATATTCAATACTGTACTGTAGATGCAAGCCAATGCAAAAAGACACAAAATAAATGAAAGGAATACAGACAGAAAAGAAGTCATGAGTTATCTTTATTTGCAAGTAGAATGATGAACTATATAGACTCTCTTAAGGAGTCTGTAGGGGCAGGACTGGACACTGAGCAGGTTTTCTGATCCAGCAGACCGGGTAAAGGAGGATTCAGAGTCCTCAGTGGCTTTTGCAGATCTTTTATTGGGATTACCAGGTACACGGCAGGCAGGGGCGCTGGGGGGCCGGGAGGCTGGCAGGCCTCCCAGCCCCCAGCAAGTCTTCACTCTTTCTGGGCTCTTCGGCATTCTCTCTGCTTCTCTGATCTTGGCTTCTTTATCAGCTTCTTTCTCTGCTTCTCTCTTGGCTTCTGCTGGCGTCCCTGTGATGCCGCCCTTAAAAGCACAGTCTTAGCCCAGGTGAATCCCATGTACATCTGCCCACACCCTATTCCAGGTGCCCGCCGTCAGGCATGCATTCAGGACTGTGGGGAGCCATCATCTATCCTGATGGCGGGAGAGCAGAAAAGCCTGACATTTTTTCCTTACCCTACAGAATCAAAAAAAAAAAAAAAAAACCCAAATTCCTGAGTTCAGCAAGATTTCAGTTATATGTGGTCAAATTACAAGAGACAGTTGTGTTTCTATGTTTCAGCAATGAGTAACCAGAAATGGAAATTTAAAATAATATCACTTAGAATGATATCTAAAAACATAAAATACTTGGAACAAATTTAACAAAATAAGAGCAAGACCTGAGTACCAGAAACTAGAAGAAAAGGACCTGAGGAAAAGGAAAGAAATATCATGCTAACAAGCTCAGTATTTTTCAGATATCAATTCAGGTTGACACGTAGAGTCAATGTAATAACCATCTAAACCCCAACAGACTTTTTTAGGGGTAGAAATAGACAAGCTATTTTAAAATTTATATAAGGGAGTTTTAATATGTAAGGGAGCAAACAAAGAATAGTCAAAGCTATGTTTGAAAAAGAGGAATAAAGTTGGAGGACTCATACTAGCCAATATTTACATAACCATTTACTTAGGTCTAAGCAGAGTAAAATAAGGAAAAAATTTCTCCTCCAAAAATACTCCAGATTCTCTTTTCTGTTACAGGTTTTACTACCACACCTCATTACCCACTGCCATCAGTTGAAACACTCAAAATGAACATTTCTTGGACTGTCAAAGAATTTGGTGTTACCATTTACATTCAATCAGGCCAATCATAAGAAGTCTCATGCTATTATTCAGTCAGCTTGGCATATATTCCAAGAACTGAACAACTCTTTCCATTACTTCTATGCTTTATATTCCTGATCAATCTGTAAAGTGTCTACTCCACATTTCTCTCCCCTCCCTCACCTTTTTTAAATTGAAGTAACTCTGCATCGTAACATTAGTTTCAGGTGTTCGTCTTTGAGAATCAACATATGTCTATACCACGTTAAGGTCACTGCGTTAAGTCCAAATCTCACCATTGCCATTCTACTCTGGATTTCAAATTCTTCATTCTCTCCAAATTTCCACCACTAAGCTGAGCATGAATCATTTATTATCTGGGCCCAGATTCATCAACTTTTTCACATCCGCTGGAATTACTAATCTTGGCTAATAAACCACTGAGTTCTATTGCAGGAAATCTGACAGGCCCTGGTCTTACTTTCACTCGGCTTCTTATTTATGAAGCCAAACTACAGTACTGGCATTTTATGCTGGCTCGACTCTTCAAAAGCTCACATCCCTGTTTCTTTATATTCTCATACTTAAACTTTTAAAAGTTCATTTCCATCAAAACTTTACAGAACTTAAGAAAGCTAGCATTTTTCCCCTCCATAGTAAAACAACATTTGATAACATTTAACTCCTTTTTCTCAATTCACAATCTCTTTTACTGCCAGACATTACTGAAAAATCAGTGTTGAAACCTTCACAGAGAAAGATCAGTCATTTAGAGATTATTGTTCCCACTGCAAAATATAAAGTGAGAAAGATTGTAGAGAATTGATTTTAAACTGTGGAGGAACTTTACACCAGAGACACTCTATTCAACTGAAACGGTTATGCTGCCTTTCTAAAAACTGGCCAATATATAACTGGAATTGGGAGAAGCTGCAATATCATGTAATATATGTAGCTATATATAGTGTGATTTAATATTAACTTATAGACATAGATTTCTTTGGAGTGATAAATCCATAAATTTCCCTCTACTGTAGACTTTCATAAACCTTATTACTTACACATTGCCAACAGATATAATTATATTTCTCCTTAATGAATAAAAAGAAAATTCCTGTATTTCTTCCATGTTAGGTATGGGAGTTTCTTTTAAAACAAAATACCAATCTACTTAAATAAAAATGGAAATTGAAATTTACTAAATGACTTCATAACAGTAAGCAGAAATAGAACAGAAAGGATTTGAGAGTTAGATCATTATAGCCCACAATTTCTGATTCCTTCATTGTCACAAAAAAGAGTAATTTAATTTACCAACTGTTGGCATATTTGTGATGATCAAATTCTTGTAGCAATGAAAACAAATATATTAATGGAGTCCCCAAAAATGAAGTTTTAAGTAGTATTTCCCATAATAGATTAATACATCTAAATTATATTTTGTCACTGGGGAATTTTTGCTGTACACTAATGGATGTAAAAACCTAATTAACTTTCCCTGCACTGTTGAAGCACAGTAACATTGGCTTGACTTACAACTTTTAAGTAGAGTTGGTGAATGTGAGAAAGTAGAAAAATATACCACATGAGTGTCAGAAATAGAAAACATTTTTTCTTACTCCCTTTTCATTATTTTCCCCAGAAACTACTTTTAGAAGGGTGAAGTTAAATAATAAAGGTATACCTAAAACAACCTATGGCAATTTAAAACCGTTAATTCCAGGTTTTTTAACATATCACTGAAAATTATAACATATAATGAAAATATTAAGTAGAGTAAGTCTTACAGAATCACACTGGGAAGTCTGTATCTTGCCCTACAGCTTAGGATGAAAATAAAAACATAGCTATTCATATTTCAAATTAACATGTCATTTTTCCTATGAGTCAACCAAATAAAAGATATGAATTGAGGTGCCTACTAAGTTCAAGGCATTATAAAACATTTATTATTAAATAATAAATGTTAAATAAACTAATCCTAAAGAATTTAACATACCCCACTGTATGAAAAAAAACGAGAAAAGCAAATAATTCCAGGTAGTTAAACAGAAGTAATGAATATATGAAAAGTTTCCATTAAAGATGAAGGAAAACAAAGAGGCCTATCATTTTAGAAAGTCTGACAAATTTGGTAGCAGAATAGAAAAATGTACAATTTCCTAGAGAAGATTTCACATAGAAATTAATGATATTCTAATTACAAAAAGTGAATTGGCTGAAAGAAATGTTTTTTCCTTTTCCAAAGAGACTATTTTCCAAGTTAGCTGTCAGAAGCCACTCAAGCAATGAAGGACTTCTTGAAAAACTGCTTAAAAAGTTGCACTACAAGTAATTTTTAGCAAAATATGGTACACAATCTTTTCATGCCACAGTATTTCCTGCTTTTCCTTCATCCCACAAATATTTAGAGAACTCCTAGTATAAAATTAAGCATTGTTCTAGTGCTAGGACTACAGCATGACAAAATGGACTAAAATCCTGGCCAAAAAGGAACTTATTTTCCAGGTGAGATAAATAACCTATAAGCAAAAAAGAAGTAAAAGGTATCATGTGTATATTCCATTATGGTACCAGTGTCATTTTGCTATAATATTGTCCTTCAGTTCCAAGCCACAGGATATGGTTTACATAAATTATGTGATAAAAGCCTTTTGATATTTCAAATAAACCCTTTTGGCTCAGATCTAAGGATGATCTGTCTTAAAAAGATTACCCTAACAGAAACCAGGATCACCAAATTTTTTCCATGATGTGTCACATACAATTATTTTAAACATTGTAGGCCAGTTATGGTCTGCATCTCATATTCTTCATTTCTTTTCACTCTTTTAAAATATAAAATCACTCTTACCTGCAGGCCACACAAAAACAGACCAGAGGCTGAATCTGGTCTGCAGCCACAGCACTTAAACACCCCCGGAAAAAGGGAACTCCGTATACTCCTGTTAAGTGGCTATGCTCAGGACTACATCTTCCCCCCCCCCACATTTATTCTTTTGTTATTTATTACTCATTTGCCAAAATTTAGTAAAACATTCTTTCCTAGAGCTATAGTATTCCAAATACCACGGCCTCAAAGTCAGTTCTGGAAGAGCAGTGCCGCCTGCTCTACCTCACACAAGCCACAGAAAAACTTCTTGGCAGAATACGTCTCCTAAGTCTACACGCCTCAGAGAGACAAGGGGAAAACTGGACATGCTCTCCATGACCTCCTGGGCAGACATACACGGGGCTAGTGTCACCTTACCTTGCTGGAGGTACATCAATATTGGAAGAAACAACTTTTCGTTTTTGCTCAAGAAGACAGATGGAGCGAGTGTTTTCTTTTTCATGGTCAAGGACTCGGCTGATCTTTTTGGTGTCTGCTGTTTTCACATCTTCCTCCATGGCCAAGGGGAACAAATTTTGGTGAGACATTTTTTTACTAGAGTCACGTTTTAAGTCCTCCGGTTGAAATGTGAAGGTCATTTCCCGCTTAATGCTTCCCACCTGTAAAATGAAATACAAAAATCTTACACTCACAAAACATCAGCTTTGCATGACTACATGCAAATGGTCATGAGGAGACAGTAGACATGCTCCTCCCTATTCATCATGAAGGACTTTTAGTTTGAATAGGGGAAATGTAACAGAGAAATAAAATAAGTGACATTACAAAGTAATGTGCAATTGGTATATCATAATACAAACAAAAAGCAACACAACTACAAGACAAGCTTGGAAGAAATGAAAGCATAAGATTTTTAAAAATATCTAAAAATTTAAAACATCCTGGTTTCTGCTTCCACAACTCAGAAACCTTAAATAGTAAATCAATTTTTAAATATTTTGTGCTAAATCTTTTATAGAAGAGAGCTATAAACATAAAAACAAATCTTATTATATTTGACTATGAAGACTGATCTTAACCATACTCTTTAGTTCATGAAGAATATTTTTTATTTTTTATTTTTTTTAATAAATTCTATTTTTATATTCCCCATACAATTGCAACCCCCTTATTTTGACCCCAATCCCTCCCCTCCCGCCCTCTACCACCCATAGAGTGTCTCTGGTTCATAGTTTTTTGTTGATTTTGATTTTCACTTTCTTATAGTTACTCATTTTCCTGGTCCCTTATTTAAGTTTTCTAGATTCCTGCTATGAGTGAGACCATCCAGTATTTTTCTTTTTCTTTCTGGCTTATTTTGCTGAGCATGATCCCATGAAGAATATTTTTTATTCTTTATCTATAGCTGTTATGTTCTTAATGAAATCCTTTCATTAGTATGATGATAAAGAAGTTATATTAATTTTTCTTATAATTTTTAACAAAATTCAGTGATTACTAAGTTTTATGATAAATTTAAAAATGAAACATCTGAGTATCGAATCCAATTATTTCCGATTTTGCAGTGACTGAAAATATAAAATGTTAAAGAAATGTTTTTATATGGTGATTGGGATTGTACGTATGATTTGGAACAAACCTGTTAAAGTCCTAAGTGTACAAAGACGGGGCAGACTATCTGGTAACCAGAGCCTCACTAATCAGTGAAGCATGTTGCAAAATATACTTGCATATAAGATATTTGTCTTATCTATATGACAGTCCAAACCTCTCATGGAGTTACTGCGGAGTCCGTAACGCTTTCCTCATTCACTTAAGTAGAAAACATGCTCGTTTCTTTCTTTTTAGTATCAGATATGAGGAAAAGCACAAGGAATTTGATCCAACAGATTAGATTTACAGAAGCTAAATTATAGATTACAGAAGCTAAATCCACAAACATAAGGCTTTTTCAGACAAAAGTAAGTTTATCAATAATAACAGAAATTGGTCAAGTATGATGTTAACGACTAGAAATTCTCTGATGAGAGCAAACCTCAGCTACGCATCTTGCAGCCAAAGGAGACCTGCCCACTTAGGAGAATTTCTGGAGCACAGGGTGACTTGTGCTTTGGAATCCACTTGACTGAAAACACCTTTCATCTGAACACAGGGCTTACACTGAGCTCTTTTCTCTCTGCAGCTTGTATTTGTCTTCTTCCCCTGGTCTTCCTGTCAGAACTAAGCTGTGTCTCTTCAGGAAAATTGTCAGCCACTTTTGTTTTACTTATAGCTCATTAAAAAGTTACCATATTTCTTAGAAGGCATTAATGAAATAAAAGAATTTGTCTGCTTTGAAATGTTGTTTTGATGATATCAATACACAACAGAAAGGAATAAGAAAATATTTCACTTCCAAAAATGCAATGAATGCTCAATAAAAATAGTTTGGAAAATCAAACTAGCAAGCTGATCATAGATCTGAGGCATATAGCAAGGGACAGGGGAAGGGTGGGGATGGTGTGGGAAGGTGGTCAAAACAGGGGAGAGAAGGGCACAAGAGAATATGGTGATGGATCACGGGTGCTATGATGGTGGGAGAACTATGAGGACTACACCTGAGAGGAGAAACCAACTGCTGTACAAAAATGAACAACAGTATAAGGAAGTAATAAAAACTAATGAAATCTCTAAAATGGAAAAAAAATAGTTTGGAAAATCAACAAATGTAAAAACAAAAAATTTAAATATTCATCACTGACCACTTTTTATGTAACTTTTTCTGTGGAGGTGGGAGAGAGGGGAAGAAATTTTTTTCACTTCTACAGCAGCCCATTCTTACCCTATGTTACAACAGGAACACTCTAAACACCAGGCATAAGGGATGAAAACAAAGGCCTAGTTTTGATAATTATAAATAGTTTCTCCCTAAGTGTCAAGTATTACATTAATTAAATATTTAAGCAGTCATTAGTATTAAGTTGTAACAATAATTGACATCCATCTCTCCCTAGGAGCCAAGTGAACTGATTAAATGAATTCAATCCCAAGAGAGATGGGGTTGGGGGAGGACCTTAAAAGAAATTCAGCTTTCAGCTTCAAAATTTAGAATAAAACTCCCAACATCTAAAACAAATTAATACAAAGTAGAATAAATTTCCTAAAGAAATGATGTTATAATTGTATGTCATGAGCTTTGCCAAGATTTCATAATAAAATAAATTACAGTAACATTCAACAATGTAAGCCATAAATCTTCTATAATACATTCTAAACAAAAAATTAATCAGGGAATTTAGCAGTGTAATGGATTCTAAAGACTATTTATTTAGCCCAGACTCCTCATTTTAAAATGGACTTAAAACAAGTAGATGTGACCAAAGGGACCAAAAACAAAACAAAAACAAAACACTACAGAAAAGCTAAGAGATTTTTAGACATTTGGAATCATAGGTTCCACTGTCTGTAAGGCTGGTGGAAAGAGAAGGTGACAGATGTGGTTATTTATTATACCACCATGCTTTAAAATTTACATGTATGGATTACATACTCTTTTTACAGTTCTTTTATTCATATTAGATTTTTTAAAATCTTTTAAAAGGAGAGGTTACAAAAGAGAAGAGAGTATAAAAGTCAAATTTTAAGAGACTGGGTTCAAAAATGGCCCGGAGAAACAGGGTGGTAGCTGCAAAGCATGTTGGACAAGGGAGAATGTTTTAAGATGGAAAATAATAGAGATGTTTGAATGCTGAGAGAGAAAAGAAAGGAATGAGTAGGGAGTTGTGCCCACAGTGTAACTGTTGCACTCTAGTAGATTAACAGAAGAGAGCAGCTAAAAAAGTTAGGATCTCATTTATATGAAATGTCTACTAAAGGCAAATTTATAGACAGAGAAAGACTGGTGATTGCCTGGGGCTGGAGTTGGAAGTAGGAACTGATTGCAAATGTACACCAAAGAACTTCTGAGGTGATAAAAATGTTCTGGAACTAGATTATTGTGGTATTTGTACAATGCTATAAAAATTTTTTAAAAATCACTGAACTATATTCTTACAATGGGATGAATATTATGCTTTGTGTAAATTGTATTTCAAAAGTATTGTTAAGTAAAGAAAGAAACAAAGAACAAACTAACGAAAGCAGGTGTAACTAGTATGGAAGTTGTATTTCCAAGAACCTCTAGATCAGAAATTGGAAAACTGCTGCAAAGAGGCAGCCACAAAGCCTATAGGTCTAGCCCTTCTTTTTAAAACCCAGGTGGGCTAGTACCCAGGCAGCTAAAGCAATTGTGTAATTCTATTTTACACACTAGTAAAATGGGTCTAAAATTCAATCCCCACTCAAGCCAGGTCCCAGACTTTTCATTTGTGGAAAACAGACATTTTTCTAATTCATCCACCTAGAAAGGAAATTTTTGTATTTCATCTGCCTAAAAGGGGCACTCACTTACCACCACGCCCTGCCCTCCCCAGCATCCCCAATTTGCCCCATGTTATGAGACAAAAGGAAACTGCTCTGGGGATCTGTAGGAACTGGGCTACATTAGCTTCCTTCCTTGAAATTGGTATCAAACAATGACGTGACTCATAACATAAATGGGTATTTTTGTTAATGAAAAGTTGAGGCAATCTGAGCAATCGCTGTGTACTACATCTCAGAAGGAGGGAAAGTGTTCAACAGTAGAAGAAGACAGCCAAAAAGAACCACAACAAAAAGTCTGCTTGGATGGAGAGAAATCAACAGCAGCATCAATGTTCTAAGTACAAAATGAAGGCTAAGCGGAACATGCACAGAACTAAGTAACAAGTAAGCACGTTCCACTCTGGTGTAAACCTAGATCTGCCAAGGGAAAAAAAATGGCTTTCCACAGCTGTAGGCTTCTGTATAAGAACCAGGAAGACAACAGCACAAAAGAAGACAGCTTCCCCTATGTGCTATACCTAGGGGTCAGGGAGAATAGATATGGCTATTTGAAAAGTGTACTTATCTTCCTCAAGCCTGGGTCATTTCCAAGCTTCCTGACTCACTACAATCATTGATTATGAATTGCAGGGAAAAAACAACCAACCAAAACGAAAAATTATTCCAGTAACCTTAAAGATTCATCCAGGTAATGTGAAAGATTTTGTAATTTCTAGTAGGATTTTGTTGCAACACTCAAAGCTTTAGATGGCAAAGGAAGACACTGGAAGCTAATAATTGGCTGTGCAAATAGGCAAAGATGATGATTTGATTCTCCATACCAGAATAATGGACTCTTTGCAAAACAATATGAATTTTGTGAGATCAAGAATTTCTTTGTCAGGTGATTGACTAACCTGAAAATACTACTTTAATATAAAGCCATATTTAAATCTATGATTTTAATCTATGATTTGAGGAGACCACCCAGATAAAAGCACCAAGCTAGAAGTCCTGCATGACAAATTACAGTAAGACTGCTGACTGACAATTTTCAGGAAAAAATACAAGACAGGGGCTTAGAAATAATCATAGTCTGAATTTTGTCTCCTGTGTAAGGAAGGATTAATCTGACCATACATCACATTGATGAGACTAAAAGTAAAAACCAATTAATATTTGATTCTGGTTGTCGCATTTCAAAAGGTATACTGATAAATAGAAAGAGGCACAGTTGATCAGGGGGACAAAGGATCTTATTGGGAAAAACTGGGATTAT